GGCTTTCACTTAAGACAGTATCGGAAAAGTTTTTTGTTTCACATTGCAACTAAATCATTCTCATTTGTTTCAACATGTATGTTAATTGCCACTTGTGGTGATCTCTTTATAAGGCTGTCATAATTATTCACAGTTTGCAGTCAAGCATTGAAAAAGCAGAACAATTTCCTCTTCTTTAAGAACCCTATGCAAGTAAAACTAAACAGAATTAATTTAAGCAAGAAACTTCCTTAGAGACTCAAGACAATGACTAGATAATAAAGAAACAAACCTTAGAGCCCTAGGAGGTAAAAGACTTGAAAAAACCTCCAGAGATCATCTAGTCAGCCCTCTACCCCAAGTGATCAACTAAACTGCTGTCATCCTGACAGATGTTTCCCTAATCTGTGCTTAAAAGTCTGCAATTTGGACATATCTCTACACAATATATTTCAGTGCTTCACTGTCCTTCCTAGCAAGATATGTCTCCAGACATCTAATTGCATTTTTTTTTTCCTTTTTTCCGCTTTAAGCCTTTTACTTCCTTCCCTCTGCTTTGAGACTGGTGAACAGGCAATTCCTAAACACACGGCCACTTCCATCTCTCCTCAGTTTTCTTTTCTCTACACTAAAAGATGGTATCTTATTCTTTCCTCAGCAGTCTTGTCCATCTCTGGACATTCTATCCTGTCAGCTCTCCCTTGGAAAAGCATCACTAGAATTAGGGTAGTTTAGTGAGGTTTTTCCCAGCACCAAGGAAGGCAGAAGAAATAACTGAAATTTGGCATGTTACAGGTCTGTTTATACATCCCAGTGTGCCTCCTTCACAGCAGAACAATGCTGCTGACTCACACTGAATTTACGACCCATTCTCATCCCTGGTCTCTTCCAGCTTAATACCCTAAAATAATTTCTTTATGAAAATTGTAAATCACATATTCAAAATCTCTTGAACTGAAGGCAACTAGCCATTAGCCCCAAATTTCAATGCCTAAAACATCCAATTTTGTAAGCAAAAAGTAAATTCTGAGACTCTTTGTTCAGACCTCCCATGAAAAGAAAAAAAAAAAACACCCTAAAACAGAACAAAAAAACACTGCATTTTATCACAAAATCTCACAGAACTTTAGTTCTGGAATTCCATTCCTCCTCACAGGATTTCCTAAGCCCTGCACTCCAGCTCAAACTGGAGTCCCTCCAGGTGCTTGAACAGGAGTCTTCTGATTCTATGAGCACTTATGAGCACTTCAACCTAACAAGGATTTCACTAACTGTCTGAAACAGAACCATTTCTTTAAGTAAGTCATTTCCTACTATAGAAACATTCCTGTCCTTCTCCACTGGTTCCTCCCTCACTGAGCCAAGGTAGGGCAGCACTTCAGCTAAGGCCCTCCTAAGCACACAAGATGGACACTGGCATGTTTCAGCTCTGTATCTATCTACCTGCCAGCGTGGCCCTCCATCACTGCTGACTCCTGTTCAGCTAGAGAACCACCTCCAAGCCTAGTTTGTTTTTGGGAACTGGTGCAATTCCACATTTCTGAAAGTTATGGAGTCTGCTTAGTGCAATCATCAGAGTGACTTGGCCTAAAGGCAGGAATTATTCAATGTAAGCACAGAGATCCTGTGGCACAGTGTTTAAGTGCCAGATTCCCTATTCCTGCAAAAAGAAGGTCACCGGTGCTGGGGGCACAGTAAGGTTTAACATTTCCCCAGTGCATCAAACATGCTGCAGTTGGCTGTTATGTGGCAGAGCTGTGCAGCAGATCTTGCCAAGGTGTCTTGGATGAAAATCCCACGCATGTTCACACCACTGTGTCCAGGCTTTGCCAGGGTACAGCAGCTCCTGCAAACATTAACTCTCAAGGGTTCCCAGGCACAGAACAGAGTTTCCAGAAAAAAAAGAAAAAGAAAGAAAAAAGGGAAAAGGATATATCATTAGTAGAGCATTCTATACAGACAGACACAGCTTGGATCCAACCAACACTACAACCTACTCTGGATCAATTTCTTCAGACATCAGAAAGTCTCTACTAATGCAGCCATTTCCGGTCAGAGCAAAGGTCCATCTAATTCCACTGTCTGCATCCAGCCTTAGACCTAACTCCATGCTCAGGGAAAGAGTACAAAACCAAGGTAAACAAAGTTTCTCCCTCAAGAATTCTCTAGCCCATGATCAACTAGCCAGACAAGTCTAAGATGCAGATCAGTAGAAACTATGAAAGAATTTAATTGCTGGAACACTAGCACATACAGAGTCCTAGAGAAAAAAAAATCTTAAAAAACTCCTTCTATAAGGTTCTGTGCAGGAGTCAGTGCTTCCCCACACTGCAGTGTACATCTGTACTCATGCTGGGACTCCACTCCTCCCAGCAATAGCACCATCTGAGGGCTTCTGTGCCACCTGGCTGTCCACTGACCAAACAATTCCCTGGAAGACTTCCTAGTCACGACATGTTTGAACAGATAACAGACATTTTAGTTACCATGTTTTATTGCTAATTGTCCCTCACACTCCTTCAGTCAGCCTTATCATGTTTGTCCATGCTAGAGTTCATAATTTTTTCAGTTTTCTTCAGCTGGACAGCATTTCAGCTTCTTGAAGGATGCCTTCTTGCTCCTGCAGTCTCACTTACCCTGCAAATGCTGGCTTCTTCTCACTCTTTCTCAAGTTTCCCTTGATGCACAGTTATTATCTCTGCACTCCCCATGTGATTTACAGAAGCAATATCCACACTCCCTGCAAAGAGTTAGGTGTTCCATCTGTCTTATTTTCAACATGCCTGCTGATCTGCGTCTAGTTTTCCTTTTTGAAGCTCGGCAGAGCAATGGTAGAGAGCTCTGGCTTGTCTTACTCCTGCAAGGATGCCAAATCTAAGCACATTAAGATCCCCCATTCCAGAGGACCTCTTCAGCTGTTACTCCCTACATCATATCCCATAAACCACTCAGAATTCAAGTCAAGCACTGACTTCATTGGTTCTTGAACCAGCTGCTCCACAAAACAGCCACTGAAATATCTAAAAATGCGCTCTGTCAAGTCTGGATGCAATATTTGCCTCTCCTAGTCCAAAGAAATGAAACTGTCCATGAGTACTTGCCCCTCTACTCAGGCTGTTGTGCTGCCATCATGGTCCACCACTGAGTAGGCAGAGTCAATATTCTATCTTCTTCCTACTTAAGTCTAGGACTTTCACTGATTGAAGTTTGGATTGTTCGTTGATGAAATTACCTTGTTAAGCAGTTCAGCTCCCACATGTCCTCAATATACAGAATCACTTAGCTCTCAGCAAAGCTCTCTGCATCCTTCCTGAGCATGAGAATGTTGTATTGATCATCTTTCCAAGTTTTGTGACATCTGTCTGCCCTGGAAGGATCTCCATGAACAATAGGACATACCAGCTCCCCAAGTCATTTGACATTAAGCACTCCCAGAGAGGAATATCTTGTTTAAACAATCTCTTCAATCTGTCTGCTCCCGGTTTCCTCTTTAACTACATTTGACCTTAACGCCAGCGGAAGGGCTGTGAACCAGCAGCACCCAAGGCACGATATGGCAGGGTGGCTATTGGCAGAGATTATCTATAGCAGGTCCTTGACTTGAATTCATTTTCCTCTGAGCGTGAGGAGCTTGATTTTTGTTCCTTCAAAAAGGCATGCCATTTATTTATGTCACAGTCCATTTATTTATTCAGGCATTTCCCAAGCGAGTCATCTCTACTGTGGAATGGATTTTTGTTTTCCTTTTTTTTTTCTGGGCAGGGTTAAAGTAAAGTAGTCTTCCCTTATCCCCCACCCCCAAGGATATCAGCTGGCCAGCATCAGCACTTCATAAAGGAAGAGGCTTGGCTTTGCAGTAAGGAAAATTTGGATCTTAGCAATTGAGGAAAAATACCTTCTTAGAAAGGTCACAACTCTCAGAAGAATACCATCTTGTGTTTAAATAGAACAGGATTGTTTAAAATTAAATCTAGGAAATTAGGACCTCTGCAACACCACAGTACTTCACATGGACTTGATTCTCCATTTGCATTTTACAGTCGGTTATCTCAATTTGGCAGTAAATTAACACACAACTGGAACAACACAGTGCCAATTTAGATCAAGAAGATATTTCTCTTTGGTAGAGAAAAGTTTAAATTTGTATACAATTTATAATCTCTATGAGAAACATTAAGGCAATTTTAAAACAAATTCTGTACTTCATCCACTTTCCCACAGGATACAAAAAGTCCATCTGGAGGTAACTGACCTAACAGTCAAACTTAAGTGTATTTTTTTGTATACGCCTCTGTTGATCAAGTCAGTAAAATTAGTGTTAGCCCAGATTTCATCCCTGTTTCTGGAGTTTTGCACCTGGCCTGCTTCTTAGTCCTGAAGCAGGGTGTAGATCATACAATAGTGGTTTGACTAGATTTCAGATTCTGACTTCTGCTGCACAAGGGATTCCAGTATTGAACTGAGCATACAAGTTCTGCTTTCTATATTGCCATATTAAACAATTATAAAAGCTCCCAATCATGAATTCTCTTTCAGGAAGAGCAGAAAGAGGGGTTTGGTTTGCACTCTCAGAAATGCAGTGCAGCTTTCGGCAAAGTGCCTTCCATTGTGTCTTTGCTGGAGACGCACGAGGCGAGAGCAGCAAGTGGGGCTGCAGGGCGATGGTAAGTGGGCAAGAGCGAAAACCTCGCCGTGCTCGGTCCTTGGGCGATGATAGAGGACACAGAAACAACGCTCCCCACCCCTGCCTTGGGCCGGCCAGGGCTGTTCCGAGCCTGCAAACCACTGCAGCATGGAAGCGTGTCTTTTTTTTTTTTTTTCCCTTCAAAAAGTTTTCAGGAAGTCTGGGGGAGGGGCGATGCTGTTTCTTTTTTGTTATAATGGGCCCCTTTGTGGAGATGGAGGAGCAGAAGCGGTCTGTGTGCCGGCGAGGCGCAGGCTCCCCGCTGCCTGCCAAGGTAACTCGCCAGGGCTCCTGAGAGCGGCGGGGCCCCGCGGTGCGGGGCAGGGCGGGCGGCGGCATGGAGCTGATGGTGCTGCTCAATGCCCTGGTCACCCGCCTGCTCTTCGTGCTGCACTCGCTCATCGGGGTCTGGAGAGTGACCGCCGTGAAGAAGGAACCCAAGTACTGGCTGCTGGCGCTGCTCAATCTTCTCCTGTGCCTGGAGACAGGGCTCACCCTCAAGTTTAAGCAAGGCAGAGGCTACAAATGGTGAGCATATTCCGCCGGAGCCCCGCTTGCTTCTTTGCATGTTCCTTGCTGCAGATGCGAAGCTGGCCCCCCAGGAGCAGGGGCTGCCCTGTCCCGGCGGTGCCGGGCGCTCAGGGATCGCGGGAGGCAGGGATGGAGAGCTGGTAGAGTTTGGCTAATCCGCTGCCAGGCAGAGGGCTTTCAGGAGGGGCAATGGTACAGCAGACAAGGCGGGAGGCACTCTGTGCGGCTGTGAGTGTCTCTTGCTGCAGGCAGGAGGCGGATGCTGTGGGGCTGGAGCGGGCTGGGGGCACCGGGCACCTCCTGAGCCCTGCAGGGGCACAGGGTGCGGAGGGACCCTGCACATGCCCTGCATGTACACCCATCCTGCCGTGCCCTGCATTGCTCATCCTGCCCTAGGACTGTATGCCCCTGCTCTCCGTGCAACAGCGCTAACGCCACGCTACTGCATGAACCTAAACTTTGTAAAAAAATAAAAGATGAGTTGCAACTGTTTTGATACAGCAAGAGTGGCTTAACTACTTGGATTTGAGAGGAACTTTCATGCGTGAAAGGCTGCCCGAGAAATGAACAAAAAAGTTAGTCATAGCAGAGCTTGGCCAAGCACATGGGGTTTTACATGCATCTAAAGAATTACTGCTGTCATCTACAGCTCATCAGTGCTCAGGCAGCCAAAACAAAATGCTCTGTGAAAAGGAGGCGGTCACATAACTAATTGTCAAGATTTCACTAGGACCTTTTGTTGTTAAAAACTCAAACTGCAGGCAGGCCTTCAGATAAATAGAGTATTAGAGAGCCCTGGAGTATTTCCATGTTCTTAAAATCCTGCCCATTGCAACCTGTGAAAGTCATTATAACAGAAGGAGTGTTGTGTGACAATTCACACAAGAGTTCCATGCTCTAAATTTGAATGTAATAAAAGCAGTGATAAAGTCTGGGACACTGGAAAATTGAACAACAGCAGAGCCCCAAATGCAGTTATGAGACAGGCAGATTGAACAGTACCAGTTATTTTGGGAGAGGAGGCAGCAGAATCTTCATGAAGGAAGACTTGCAAATGGAGCTTTTAAAAAATCCAAACAAAAATAGATACCAAAAGCAGATCCATGTTAGAGGCATATGCAGAAGACTGGGCTAAATTTATCTAGAAGAAAATTTTGAAAATGGATGTGATCCAACACTTTAAGCAGCAAAATAAAAGTACATATATAGGTGAGAACTGTAGACAAATGGCCAGCATCTATTTGCATCAGGATAATTTTCTGCTCCAGTGGAAAACAGTCACAGAACAAACATCATCAGCGTTTGTAGAAACAACTCCACAGACAATCACCAGTCCAGGGAAGGGGCAGGCTACGCAGCAGGACTCCTGCCTCCAACACCCTGATATTCTCTGTTCATTATTGACAGAAGACTGTTACTTATTACACCAGCCTAAAACATTTAATGGCACATGTGGAAAAAAAGTCTTCTTGTGAGCCTGGCCATGTAATACTTCCTCTAGATTGCTCCTTCTGAAAGAAAGGCAGGGTTAAAGCCCCTCAAGTCTCTTGGCCTGATGTGATATCATTAGCTCAGTATTGCTAACCTGCCAGCTGGATGGATTTTTTGTGTGCTGAAGTCCTACAGGAAATACTGTAAAATGTTAGTTCTTCCATTCAAATGAGAGGTGTGTTCTCTCCCAAAATAACCAGCTAAAAACCCACACAATCACTAGCCCCCTTTTTTTTTTAGGAGAAAAAAAAAAAGCTAACAACAGCAACAAAACCCACTGCCAAAAAAACCAACACCCCCTCAACCCTGAAAAACTAAAAAACACAATTAAAACCCAAACTATCTTAGAGGGGATAGTTTGAAACATTTCAGAGCAGTTTAGCAACCCAGTAATTTCCCTAAGCACCAGGATATTTTGTTTTTCCTCAGTACTTAATCTTCACTGGAAAAGTCATGATTACCAAAATAAAGATATGTTCAACATAGGGACAAACAGTAAATGCAATTACATTTGGCCAAAATACTGCTGCAGTTGCTTACTTATAAGCAGTTTAAATTCATTGCAGAATGTGCCAGAGGCAGAATAGAAGGAACCAAGTAAATGTCCCAAGGTGGACCCACCCCTAGTCCCAGGGCATTGCAGCAATGCCCAGTCCATACTGTAGCATGCAGAGCTAGATACAAAATTTGTGGCATTGCACCTCATTCCTACTCCAGAAGTACAGAATTATCAAAAAAACCCCACCTCAATCAAATGTCACATGTTTAATAAGAAAACAGCAGCAACTCACTCTCACAAGAATCACTACTTGTAGGAGTCATGAAATCTCTCTGTTACTTCTGAATAAACCCAGCTAAAGAAGCTGAAGATAACAAAGCTTCATCAACATCAGTTATTGTGCTGGTTTTGGTTGAATAAATGATTTTCGTGGGTGCACTGGCATTCAGCCAGCACCAACCCATCACAGTTATATAGAAGACTAGCAGGAAGAAAAGAATTAGAAAATTCTACCACTGCTAGCACAAGTGGGGAAACAAGGCCAAGATCCATTTTCATGAACCCATTTTAAATGCACAGCTTGCATCTAAAAGAGCTACTGAAGCAGTGCTTGTTTTAGGCAAGCTGATGCTATTTCTACTTTTCCTGTGTCAATGCACAGGATTGTGAGTAACCTTTATCTCAGCATCACTCAGTGAAGTGACTCAATGTATTAATTCACTCTTCATGAAATCAGAAAGAGCATGTTAGCTACAGGCTTTTTAAATACAGAAAATGCTGTGATAGAAATACCAACAGCAAAGTGCCTCTGGTCAGCTCTTAAAAAAGAAATTTTTAATAAATTTCCATATATGACCTTAGATGGATGTACAGATAAACCTGTTTATAATACTCACACAGCACAAGCAAACCAGCAAGAATAGCAATTCTTATTTGCAGTTACCCTATTTCTTAATATCCCATATGGCAGAGGCACAAAATACAATATATCCAAACATTATCTGCATTGGAAAGTATTTATGATGTATCGTAATACCAAGATATCTTTTCTTTTCCTTCACAGGTTTTCACCAGCAATATTTTTATATCTGATTTGCATAGTACCATCACTATGGCTACTAGAAATTCATCATGGGACTCAGGTATCTAATATGAGATAAGATGGAATAGTTTGAAATTGATGCATTATTTGATGGGTTGGCTTCAGGCATGCAGTCAGAACTCTGCAAAGTCTTGTTCCAGTTCTCTCTTTCATATTGGTGGGTGTCCCAGTCTAGCTACAGCTATATTATGACTATTGTGCACTTCCTAATTACCAGATAATGAGACTCTTTCCTAGCTAAAAATGAGACCATGTATTTGTATTTATCTCAGGAACTGAGGACTACAAGTTCAAAAAACAGAGCCTTTCACCTCCAGGTTACCAGCAGGAATCTTGCTCAGTAGGGTAAAAGAATGCCATTGCTTTAGAGGCCTTTGCAAAATGAAGTGAGTTTGACAGTGTTTAAAAGCAAATGCCACAACTTCAAGCAAGTCAAAATTGAGACAGGTATCAGTGAAAGGGGTCTTAAACTCGCGTTATCTCATGTTTGCTACAACATAGGAGAGCACACAGAGTGTTACCACAGCTGGAAATACATCTGAAAAAGTTTACATCCTTCCTTTCTTTGTGTTGCATAATCATCTAGGAGAGAGAGGAGCTGGATTGCAATTCAGGACTAAAGCATATGGCAAAATTTTTAAGGGCAAGTGTTCTGGGGTCAGTTAGGGCCAGAACAGAGCCACTTCACCCAACAGGTCTCACTCAATCAAGCTCATGCAGGCTAGTTTCAAGTCCCTATAGCACTTCCATGCAAAGAAAAGGAAATTTTGTCTGTGCCCCTATTTGCACGTATGCAGTGCCCTACATCCAGAGCAGTAAAGGTTTTGATTGGAACAAGAACAAAAAGTAACAGAAGAAAATACATAAATTAGACTAAGAAGACCTAGTGCCTCATTTTCTCCTTTGAAACATTGTTAGAGTCCACAGAAGCATAATCAAATATTCAAAATTGTGTTTACACTAAAAATGCCTCAGGCTTTTTCTAAATACAACAGCAGGAATTTATTGTCTTCTTGTTTTCCCAAATCTCCTTAAACAGTCACAGACAGGTAATGTGGATATTGAGAACATTTGTCATAGTTAAATCTGGTCCAAGAAACAGGCTAATTCTGTAGTCAAAGGCAGCAGTTTATTTCCCAAAATGATGTTAGAACATGGCATACTTTGTTCTTATTGATATACTGCTATGGTGAATTAAAGAGGGAGTATATCAAGTTAACAGCTTAGTTTATACCTGGAGAGATAGGATAGAGAGTTCTGGAAGCACACAATCTAACAGATTCAAAAATAATACCTCCAGAAGGGGAGTAGCTTTCCTAACAATTAATCTCAAACACAGCACTCAGACTAGCACTACTCTCAATACTGGTATATTCCTGGGATTTCATTATTTAAATGCAAACAGAATGGGTAATTATACGGTCACTAGATCCACACTTTTGATATATACAGTATGAAAACAGTGTGTGGTCTTTAAGGCAGTAGAACTTTGATCTTGTGTTGAATCCTTACCAGGAAGCATCAGCTGCTCATGCCAGTGCTGTTATTTAAAGCAGGTGCTAACAGGCATCTCTCTTCCTGAAGACAGAGGCAATTCTGCCTCTGTGTACTGCAGAACTGGACATATAATGCCATTCATATATCAGAGGTGAAATACTGACTGCATAGAAACTACTGCTTTGTGGTAATGTATTTAGGGGTGAAAGATATGTTTGGGAGAGATTATAAAGTCAATTGAACTGTACAGAGTGAAAAAATTGCTGTCTGCTGTCAGGCAAATTGAAACCATTTAATCCGTTAAAAAATCCAAACATTCATGCAGGATTTCAGGGCTCTGTTACCTTTGCAGATGCCTGGTGTGCCACTGCCACAGAAAGCAGTAACTGAGCACCTTTTGTAGGGCTTACCCAACTACCAGGGCTCTAGCTGATGCAGGCTTCCAGTCAGGAATAAGACAGACACTGGGTAAACCTTGTAATTATTTTTAACCACCTTAACTTGAACACTCTGGGGATATAGTGAATATCACTGTCCATTCCCTCAGCCTCATTTTGAGGTGGGATTCTCTTACCAGCTAAAACTATACCATAATGAGCTCCTCAAAGTGCTCTTACATCTTTCACCACTCCTTCCTTGCCGTACCCATTATATTCCTCAATTTGGAAAACAACTTAGATAATCTTTGTTTCATGTTTTACATTTCAGCTTTCCTGTATGAGCAAAATGAAGCAGTCAGGAGTGCTTTGAATTTCTGACATCACATGTGTTTCCATAGTGACAGGCACAGTGTTTTGCAGCAAAGCACAGACAGCAAGCCAGGTACCTGTTACTTGGCAGAGGGCCTGCTCCAGGGAAGGGCTGGACTCTTCCAAAATGTCCTCAGACTGACAGCCTCCATGCACATTAATAGGTTGAGGGTACTCCACCCTAATATTCAAGTTGCAATTTTACACCCCAGTGCTGGCCCCATTATGAAAAGTTTTAGCTAACCTCAGTTATATTTGAAAATAATAGATTATGAATAAGGTGCAAACAGAAATTGGCTGAATTAGTTTGGTGTTTCAGGCGTCCCCCATGCACTGGCAGTGAATTTCTCTGCAGGCCATTACCATGTCATGCAACAGCATTTCCATTTTGATTAGATGGCTTATGAATCAGTAAGCTTCATCTCAGAAGAAACAAAAGAAAGTAAGCCAAGTCAGAGTTGATACAAAATGTGTACAGCCTCTTCCTTTTATCTTTGCACAGAAAAAACCTGAAAATAAACCCATTTTTATTTAGCTTGGTACAGAGTCAACATTTAGGACGTACTGGGGTCTAATAACAAAAAGGCAAATCATGTTTATCAAGTGCCCATGAAATAGTAAAACAGTATTCACTTGCTTATTGTCACATTCCCATTTAGCCACTGCACATCCATAAGTCAATAAGTAAATTTGCCTGGCACCAACAGTCCTATTTACATGCATATACATGATGTAAATAAAGGCTCTTCTCCAGATTTTCAAAGATCATTTCACAATCACCACTTATTAAATATTCAGAGAAGCGCAAACCCAAACAAGATATGAACATACTTAAATGAAAAAAACAGAAGCCTGCTTTAAAAAAAACAAAAACAGGAGACTGGCTTTGCAGATGCAGATTTCCATTTCCTGTCTGGAAGCAATTGAGAAGAGCTGTGGACTGGCCCTGAGCTTGCCAATCAGTCCAAGATCACTGAGCCTTGCTCTGAAATAGTAACACACCTCCCAGCTGAAAGTACTCACAAAAATGACATAGAAGGAAAGACACCTATCAAAGACACAATAACGTGAATTAATTTTTTTAGAGGTATTTCCTGCAACTCTGTGCACTAGAACAAGAGAAAAAGAGCTCCCCTGCAAGCCATGGCATAGTTTCTTCTGCCTCCTTCTAGCAGTCAAGCTGCTGAGTCCTGCAGCTCCTCCACCTTGGATGTGAAGTTCTGTGCAGGTTCATGGCTGCTTTCTATTACCATGTCAGACCAGGCAAGGGGCCAGAGAGGTGAGCTTAAATGCAGACTTAATGACAAACCAAAGGTGTCAGAGTCAGCCTTCCTCCTGCTGCACAGGTTAGTCACCCCTTTGCCCTACCCAGGCTACTTGTTGATCTTCACTTCTTAGTATTCTGGGGTGGTTAGGACACTTATGCAGTATTTTTAGGTTGTGGTCTCCTCTGCTGGGTGACACAGAGTGGAAGTAACTCAGCCTGACTTTGACCTTGGGGTGGGTCTCCTTAGACTTTAGGGTTTTTCTGTAGGCAGCAGATACAGATGCCTCTTCAGAGCACCAATTAAGTTACATTTCCAAAGCATCCTCTGAACAAGCCGTTCCCTCTCTCTCCTTTACTTGAAGGGCAACCCAGGGAAATTAGCCCTACAAGGCTGTAGCCAGGCAGAGAGTACCAGCCCCTCCATCTCACTGTTTCCATGCCCAGAGCTTTAGACTAAATGGAAACATCATCTTCCCCACATCTGTGTGTCAATCTTTCAAGACTCTCACACCCACTGTTCAAATAAAACAAGCATTCAGCTTAAGACTCTTTAGCGCCAACTCTAAAAGCAACAAGCACTGACATTTTTTCCAGTTTTTTCCAGGCACAGGAAATTTATCTACCATAAGGTCAGACAAGAGGCAGCATTTACCCAGATTCTGAACAACATCAGAGACCAAGAAAAGTATCAAAGTAAAATCTGAAATTTCCTGAAAAACATTGCTCTGATATTGGCAGGCTTTACACTGAACACAACTACTCAGTATGCTCTCGAACACATTCCAATTGTTGCAGAAAATCAATCCCCATGCAATAAAATGGTTGGGGGCCCAGTGGAGAAATGCAAATAATCTGCAATTCTCTGGCAAAAATAGGACAGGATAAAAGTCTTTAGTAACAGCATGGTTTGATTTTCTAATTATCCTCTTTTTATTACAATGGAGAGAGATGTTATGGATTGTTATGAAGACAGATTTTGGACCTGTGCCCCCCAGCTGCTCCTGGGCCAACCTTGGGTGTGAAGGTAGAAAGGCAGGACAGTGCTGCAGACAGAACATAGCCCCACCACGGGTTTACTGTAGTTGGAGTAACAATATGTTTTAGCCAACACTCAATTTCCCAGATCACTGTGTACTTGTAGGAAGTAAAAATATCCTTTATTCTATTTCAAAGGGATAGGCAACAATACAGGTCTAGTTCTCTTAAATACTCCTTTATTTCACCTCTCATCCTATGAATTTCCATACAAAATAAGGCACAGCAGGGGCAGGAGAGGTGGAGGATACAACTCATATATCCTACCTCATTTTCAGCCTTGAGGGAAGTCATACGAAAAAATGAAAGTGACATTTTCAGAGAACTTTTCCTGGATAGTAGAAAACAGAAGCAGATATTTTGAGAACAAATTTTTGTTGAAGGCCACTCCATTGGCCTTTGAATTTGCATCCTCTTCTGCAGTACAACCCTGTAATTTCTTAGGAACCTACCAACACATCACTCTTGTCCTCATGAGAGGAATTCCTCCCTCCTGAAGAAGAGGGGGAATTACATTAAGAGCGAGGACCGTTGCAAACATCAGACACCCTCTGCAGTTCAGCAAAACAGGACACAGCCATAGAGCACATCTGCTCCTGGGTGGGATGTTTACACGCGTGTCATGTTTTTGTTCACAACAGTACTGTGGCAATGAGCCTGGGGCTGTTCAGGTCAATGTCAGCAATCAAGACTTCAATCAATCCAGAGAGAGCAGTCAAGGAAGTGAGGGAACAGATCACCACATCATTCAGACGGTAGGGCACCTTTTCCTGTTTCTGGTAGAGATCTTATGACAATTAGAGATAAGCACCTTGTGAGTAAAACAAAATAACAAAACAAAAAATGGCAAACAATCCAGGACATGTATATTATATATATTTGTAGTTTAGGAAACCACATTGTGAAAATACAGCATGCTACTGTTGCTAAGACCAGTCTCTGTGTAAAGAAGAGGTGACCCTACCATTCTCTTGTGAATCTCAGTAACTGAATTTAGAAAGTGTCTGGGTAACGAGTCTGCAAAGCACAATGCTCAATTGAAAAATGAGAACAGGAGGAGTAGTACACAGAGAAAGATTTGATATTCATTATCCAAAGTTTGTATTAAAATGTATTTTTAAACCAGGCCTGCTAGATGGAAATTACTTGTTCTCATACAATGTGAAAGAGAACAAAAGCAGGCTCTAAGACAAATACAGTCTCTCACAGTATCTCTAACATCAGTCTCCTGAAGTTACAATACATGATTGTTGTCTTTTAAACAGGCTAAAGTCTTTGTCAATCAGCTCTCCACAATCTGTGAGACTGTATGGACACTGGCTCTCCACCAGACTTTTCTACTGCTATTAGTAGTTGGGAGATGGCTTCTCCCCATTGGAGTTGAAATCACCCGGGATCAACTGTCTCAGCTGCTTCTCATGTTTGTGGGAACAGCAGCAGATATACTTGAATTTGCTAGTGAGACCTTGGACATTGAGGATGTTCGGTAAGGATTTTTTGCTGATGGTATTTGTGTAATGTGCAGTGTTCAGACTGATAAAACTGCATTTCCCATAGAAAGCAGAGGGCTGCATTCAAGGGCTCTGTGTGCCTGCTCTTGCCTTTCCCCCATCAAAGTCCTGTGAGCTTTGTTGGAGATTACTCATGTGTTGCCAGCAGAGAAGCATGTCACATCATCACAATGAAAGGGTTCAGGGAGCCAAACGAGCAGCCTGACTGCCAGGAATTCTTACAGCTACAGGAGCTGAAACACTGGATACGCAGTAAGCCTCCTTCAGGTTAATGAATTGTTTCAGATGGGCAAGGAAGCAACTAAAGCTGGCTTAAGTGACTCATTATCCAAGTTGCTTCTTTGGTTATCTCATGTGTACTTCATGGTAGAGTGACAAAGTGTTCAAAGATAAGAAGAAAGGGAATGGCAGAGTCTGGTGTGAATTTTCAACACTCTGATCTCTCCCCAAGAAAGTAAGCTCACCTCCCCCTCACACTGAGAGATGAGCTGTGAACATCCATCATAAGGAAAGAGTCACAGAAGATGTTCATCTTCTCTAACAAATACTATTTTATTTTTTGTAAGTATCATAGCAAGGCTTTTAGAGCAGGAAAAGAGTCCTTCCCACTTGGCAGAGAAGCTTCAGGCTTGCAAAGAATGTGTAATCACTACAAGGGTGAAGATATCCCCTCTGAGCCACAGAGTCTATTCTCATATGCTTATTATTATAACATTAGCTTCAGATATTTAGTGTAATTACACAGCTGGAACATGTAAGCCTTAACAGCAAAAATTCCATACAAAAAGGTGCTTCTGTTTTCCTTAGTGTTGCATTGTAAAAGCACATATAAATAAACCAATCACTGCTTCACTCAGCTACCCTTTAAATGATTACAAACACTACACAAAGCTTTTTTGTGATCTCATAAGGAAACTGCATCTTCATTGTTACCACTTTTTCCCCTCCCATAGGAAGAATTACGCTCTCATAAATGCAATTCTTGCTGTATGGACCTGGAGTATGTTACAGTTTCCACTTGATCTTGCAGGTTAGTACTTGCGCACAAACAAGAAAAGAGAAAAGTGCCCTTAAGTTTTTGCTGGTACATCTTGTGGTTGTGCACACATTACATACAGGCTGTACTAAGGACTTCTGGTGAAGAGGAATTCATATTCAACAGCTTTTGAAGAAAGCTCATTGTGGTTTCTTTTGAGGAAATACTTGTTTCTGGCTAACCTCTGATCTCTCTCATTGAGCTGTCTACTTGCAGGAAAAGGAAAAAATGATTGCACTTTTGTGTTGCTCCAGTTGCCTGTTACTGCCTTAAACTTCACTATGTGAGCTCTCACGTTAGAGCTGGTCTATTATGCCTCAAATTTGGGTAGGTCCTAGACCCTATAGAGAGGCAGGCGCTTGTGAACCACAGAACAGCACAGCCAAAAGCACAGGAGAAATTACCTATTCACTGGAGACCTAAAGGACCATATGATGTTGGGACTGTATGATGTTATCTTAATCCAAAAGAGCCGGCTATTCAGCCAGCTCAGGGCTGTGTTTGTTCCTGGGCAGAAAGGGCTTCTCCCTGTCCAAAAAAGAACAATGAAAGCTGTCTGGAGCATCATCTGTTCCAACCATTTTGGCCTCCAATCACAACAAGTTTGCAACAACTATAGCAGTCCAAAAATGCGTTATCCTCAGTACCATCTATACAAAATAGATTTCTAGGCGAACAAACTGACTAGAATAATAAATTAAAAATTCCTGAAATATTATTTTGTTCATTAGTCTTTTCTTCATGGATGCTGCTAGGCTTTGTTTCCAACAGGGAAGTTATGAAAATATTTCAGCCTGTCAGCTCAGCAGCTCACCTCCTAAAAAATCAGATGCAATCACATTTCAGCTTTATCATAGCTAAAATTCCTGCTACTGCTAAAATATATTCTATTAAAGATGCACAGCAGTCAGGTTTAAAAAACCTCAACCAACCAAATAAAAAACATCCTATATACATCACCACCACACAAATAAATTCAGATAGCACTTAAACAATCTGTTCATTTTTTTCCTCTAGCAGTTGCTTTTCCATTTATTTAATTACATCTACCAGTTAAAATTAAATTACTGAACACCTATTTCCCTGAATTACTACGGGTACAGGTTCATTTTAGGTAGTTCTATACAGTTGCACAGATAGTACTTTTTGTTCAAGCATCAGAATGTTTATTCACACAAACATGACGTAAAAGAAATTTTTAGGCACTTATTATTAGACTACAGCAGTGCAGTTAGTACTATTAAACAGCAATGGCACAGAAGCACATTAAAAAATTAGCTGCTGCTGAAGCTTTGCCTAATGGATTCAGCAAATTTCTGTATTTTACAACTCATTTTCCATTTGAGTCTCATCTCTTTCTCCCCCCACCCCAGCGTTGACTCAAACAATAGAATTCTTTTGGCAAGCTGCAATTTTTGGCAGTTGTTACCGCATCACAAGTAGCGATGTTTTTTTAAACCAATGAAATCTCCCTGTCCAAGAGACAGGTTAATTAAGATTCATGTATTTCTGTGAGACACAGCCACATTTCCCCCCACAAACCCTTTTGATGCTCCTTCTCTGGACAGTACACCATAGAGGGCATTTGGGCCCACCACCACCTTTACAGCCAAGGGGAACCCATGTATGCAAGTTCCAGCAGTTGTGTGACATTGATACCCACAAGGCTAAAAACAAGTATCTGTGCCTCAAGTCTTACATGGCAGACAGAAACCACAAAGTGCTCAATATTGCCTGGCACTGACAGACCTTATTCTTACTATGACACGTGAAAAAGGCAATGGTTATCTAGTGAATATTTTAAAAGCAATTCTTCGCGTGGAAGAGAGCGAAGTGCTACAGCACTGGCTGTTCCTTTTCAGCACAGTTTTTTTTCTTAAGGATGCATACTGGTCTGGCATGTTGATTTACCAAATAAAAGGTCTGAGGAAGTTGTAAAGAATCATTAGGTGGTCTATTTCTGCTTTTTGTCATAGAAGCGTATAAATACTGGTAGGTTTGAGGCATACAAAAGGGGAAGTGGTTTTTAATCCTGTTTGTAAGACCACATAAGTGCCTCAGGTGAGTTCAGCGTGTTTTGCTGAAAAACATCCCAGAAACTGGATATGCTATATGTTGCACAGTTTACAGGTGAATGCATTTATAATCCAGAGTACTCTGTATTGTGAGTGCCCTTTAGGCCAACCCTGGCTCCAATTCACAAAGTCGTTTTAACACGACTGTTTTCCTTGCAGTACAGCATATTGGCTGCAAACCAAGCGCGTCGGCCAGGCGGATCCCCAGCCTGCTGCTGTGCAGGTACAGTGCAGAACTGTGGAACATTGGTGTCAGTCTTTTCATACAGGATGGCCCCTTCTTCATTGTGCGTTCAATTCTCATGGGCCACTTCAGAATATTCAATCAGATGCTGGTGTTTTTTACAGCTAAGAATATCTTAGTTGTGACTCTGCAGCTGTACCGGCTGGCAGTGATAACCTTAGACTTCCGTAGCACCGTTCTGCAGAAGAGCAGGAAAGGAGAAGTCTGTTGCTGCCCATGTGAGCCTTATGAAGCTCATGCTCATGCTACTGGTCGCCAAGAGAATGAAATGAAAGAGTTTGTCGCTGTTCCTCCAAAAGAGGAATCCCAAGCTCCATCAGAAGATCACTGAGCAATTACTGACTTGGAAGAAGTTGCATTTCCCACAGCTTCTTCAGCAGGGCTTTGTCAGTTTCTGTGATCAAATACATCTTGAATGCCTAAGTCATCTTTTCCATCAAGAGAACATTCATTTCTTCTAAATTGTAGGGGAACTTTTCTCAAGCAAATTGTTAGCAATGGGACCTATTTTAAATTCATTTGTATGGTGGGTTTTGACTAGTTCCATATTGTATTATTCACAGGGATTTTGTAGCCATAGTTTGTAGTATCAAGAAAGGTTGGGAGCACTAACAAGAATGGTTATTACCGTTGGTGGCATTGTGCTGACCTATATGCTTGCACAAATTCAAGTGGAAGGACAAGCCTGTCCTTTATAGGAAGCACAAAAGCATTGAGCTCTACTAAAATAGTAGGGCTATGACTACAGTGTGATGAACAATATATTTGCCATGTACAGAAGGAACTTCAGCAGCAACAACTGTGCAGGCATGTTAGTGCTGTTACTGTGACACGAGAACATTGTTCATTCCAGAAATTTAAGGAAACCTTCAGATGTTACCTCATCTTTGGCTGGATTCAGTTAAGAACTATGCAACACCATCAAACTACATACAAAAGACTCTTGTGACCTGCCTGGTCTGAATAACCTAAACCTTAACAAAAAGAAAAATCAGCCCCCGAATCACTGGAAGCCAGCTGCATTTCCTACAAGCATTTTCTACAGAGTTGCTTGCCTTTCTATTTCTACCAGTTAGAACATACACACAACACACATGGAGAAAACCTCACCAAAATATTTGTAAATACTTTCTTCTTTGTGATTTTACAGTTGAGACAGTTTTTTAAATGTCTCCATTTTGTATGGTTTTTAATAGTGGCCTGACCCAGACACAGACTCTCAATAGAAAGAAGATGCACTGCTGCTGAAGGCAGTCTAAGGCAAAGGATTTAGGCATGCACTTCATGTTTCATAAAGCACCACAAGGACCCATGAAATAACCTGACAGATTGTCTGGTCTGATGAGTGTCAAGATCCATTTTTAAGAAATGGCTAATAATTAATACTTTACTACTTTTACATTTGGAGTGACCAACATGGGCCCCAATTTCTCCCAAGAGCACACTTGAGATCAGTGTAAGATCTTTTGCTCGACTTAGCTTAGAGAAGCTGAAAGTAAGATAAGTGATTTTTGAAAGTCTGCCTAAAAATTCTATTTTCACAGAAAATAGCAGGTGCTTTTACAGATTCCTGCATCCATTCTGAAAGAGAGCAGAAAAGCATATAGAGTGACCTAATTAAGGTAATTTCACTATTAAAGCACCAAATGAAGCCTTATTTTCTAAAGCCTCAGCTATCTGAAAACCAGGGTCTGGTTTCAGGAATGAATGGAAGTGTTTCTGCCATCATTGCAGCAGTCATGTACTTTTTTATCCACAGCCTGATAAACAACGATACATTTATTCTTTGAAAATCCCAAACACCAAAGATGTGAATGTGCATTTATACTTGTGAGTTGTTACTGTTCTGTGCAGGATAAGACCCTTCCATTATGAAGGAAGAAAATGCACAGCCATAAGGAAGTATCACATGCTTCATAGCCCTGTCTACCATTTATATAGTAGTAATATTGTGCAACACCTCCTTCTCTGCTTATTTTCAGCCTTTTTCCAGCAGCAGTTTTAAAAAGCCAATCACTACTTGCCATGGTGTTGTGAGGTAGACATATGGAAAATGGAATGCAGCTTCATTTTGGATTTTAATTCAAGTCTAGAGGTAAAAAAAGTGACAGTTCTGATGATGATCTGTGCTGTCTAAAACCTTTCACACTGGGATGAATTTAGAATCACTTGGTAGAACCACAAGACAGCTCTTCCTTGTGGATGCAAGCCGGAACTACTCATATTCATTTTGAGTTTACCACTTGCTGATATAGTAATTATCCTGTTAAAAGGATCACTGCTAATTAATTTGGAGTGTACTGAGCTTGCTAGAACATCATTCTAAATTCATCAGCACAAAAATTGCAAGGATGTACTTTTTTAAAACTTGCTATTTCAAATCTTCCTTCAGCAACAAACTGCCTACTAGAATCAGCCTGCAGCAAATGCAAGATCCCCTGGGGTCAGCAGTACAGAGACTGGTTACAGCAGGAATATTTCACAGCAAACTCTATTTCCTGGTCTTCAGGCTGTTCAATTTTAAACAGCAGTAAAGCTTCTAATCACATTTATGGTGCTAAGAATCACTCCAGTGTTAGGTGTTTACAAGATCCCATCCTCATTCACTCACAGACAATATAGGCCAGATCCTCTTCACGTTTACAAAAAGTAGATTTGGGCTTCCCTTTTTTCGTCCCCACTATTGCAGTGATGGCAATCAGATTGTTTAAAACCAAAAGAAAATCTAGGCTAACAAAGCAGCATTATAAATTCCCACTTGGGTACAGAAAGGAATCACATACACCAGGTAGCAGCAGGAGTGACATGCAGCTCCCTCTACTTCACTGAGAAGCCTGGAAATGGCAATGAAAAAGTCTAATAACTTGTATGTTTTGGGCATAGCAGCAAACACCAGTTGCAAGCCCTCCTCAGTTTCCTGTTGCAAATGTTTGGAGCAGGACTGCAGCTTTGTGTTTTGCAGCAGGCTGTTGGAGGCAGCTGAAGCAGCAGCTGGTTGTGGGGAGCCCTGGTGCCACTCCATAGCCTTCCAGTGCTCTGCACAAGGCAAGTGGTAGACTGGATTCACCTGAAGATCTGCCAGAAGCTGTGGTGTACCCAAAAATGTCATGCTTGCTCTGCAGAAAAAGCTGCAGTAAACCTTCAGATGGGGAAAATTCAACCCTCCAAAATGGAAGAACTTCAGAACATTTATCTTAACCGTTATTTACTCAAGCCAGGAGAACACATTAATAAATCTGTTCTGCAAACAGATATCTGACCATTTACTGTTATTTATTCTGGTTGTTCCTGCCTTGTCCTTCTAAATTATTCCATATTAAACCTCACTAAAATGTTTTACCACTTGTCTTTTCCTGGGCTAAAATGTATTCCTCCTTTCTTTTGGACATTGGCTTAAATAAGATCATAGCCCTAAGCAGGAAAAACAACAAACAACAGCGATGATTTTATTGCATTCCTGTTGGTATTTGTACTGTACTATGTTCTCTGTGACCATGTGGAAATGGAAGAAAATGTGCAATTACTTTAAAAAAATTCCAACAGCATTTTGCAAATAAAAGGCAGTTACCTCAGGCATAGCTGCCAATTTATTATGTGAGAGCTGACTGTTATATGTTCCTATTAATTATATCTTCCACATGCTGCTTTTCCTTTCCATGCTTCGTAAGTTAATTACTTAGGCCAGATTCTGACTGCTGCTGTTGCCTTGAAAACCCACAAGCAACTGCAGCTAATTTCACCCTGTTCTGGGTAGGTTCTTTATTCCAAACCTTTGCCTCCAAGTACGCAAGTCACATTGCAGTCCCCAAGAGGATGTGTTCAATATCTGCACACAGGAGGCATTTTAAACACACACACAAATACATACATGCATTAAGATACCCTCACACACACCTGCCAATGCCCAATATACAGCTTTTATTTCTGTAACAATCTGTGAAACTGCCAGTAAGAACACTCTGCAGGTGCCTCCAAAACAGAAAATACCTAAGCATTACGAGTATCTTGAAACTTAAATGATAAGCATACCATACTCCGAATAAAACACTGATTAAAAAATAAAGTTCCCTGGAATATATTCTTTCCATGCAGATTTCCCCAGTTGAATGAAATTTACCCAAGCATTAGTTTCCCCTCAAAAATAAAGTTTTTTAGGTGAGCATTAGAACACAACACCAGGACAAGGTGTTAAAACTGCACAACGCTGTTTCACTGATGCTGTGTCAATAGAAAATTGACAAGGCAAGCTTTGAAATCAGGAGGCTGGAGAGGTCCTGGCCCCTCTGTCTTTGGATTCAATTTTCCACTTTTTTCACACTGTTATATGAGCAAGGAAGTCTCTCCTTCCTTTCAAGAGGAAAAAACCAGATCATTCCTAGTTTGTAGTGGTAAGGCAACAAAAGTGACTCACAGAGGCAAAAGAAGCAGAGAGGTTTTCCCAGGATTGGTCACTGCACCAGCAAGAAATACAGCAGTACAGACCCCTAATGGAACAGATATTAATGACTGAGATAACCATACATGAGCTGAGCTCTGAAAACATTTCCTGGCCCTTCAGAGCCAGCACAGGAAGGGTTCTCAACAGCCAGCTCCACTCCAATATCCCCAATAAGGTGCTATGACAGGAATTCTAGTGATCCCAAGTCTCTCTTGAAGGTATCACTGAGATCTTCTGTGCAACTTTTTCCTAATTTGGTCTCCACTGGTTTGTGTCTTTTCCCTTCAGATTGGGCAAAAGGCATGGGAGTGAAAGCAATGCAACTATTAAAAAAAAATCCCTTCATTTATCAACCTAAACCCTTACCTCACCCTCTACATACTGCTCTTTGCTCATCCACATTTCTGCCTGTTTTCTGGGCCTGCCTTCCAGATCTCGGCACAGACAAAACATGCTAAACATTGCACCTCCCACTGCTGCCTCTGAAAGTCTTTTAAAAAGCACACAGGAATTCAGGTCAAAGATTAAGAATAGCCAAGCCTATTTCTTCCTGTTAAAGATGAAAGCTACATTCAGCTGTCAAAGCATTTCCTCCATTTGTTTTTAGCCTACTACAGGGAGAAGAATCTTTTCCTGAGCAGTGTCTCTGTGAAGGACTAACTTATTGGAAGAGCAGCATCATTTCCTGTAGCCCTATGGATTATCTCTTTCAAACTGTAGGGTCACACAAAGTTTGAAATGAGACTGTCAGGCTGTAGGTAAAGATAACAGAGTTGAAAGGTGGTACAATATAAAAGTGATGACCTCACCCAGCATTTTTAATTTTGGGAGATGAGAAAGGCCTCCAAGCCAAGTAAAACAGGTCTGCATGAGCAGCATCTGTAATAGCAGCTTGGAAGAGCTGAATTAAAAATTGCTCTAAAATCTTCAGTCTCCCATACATCTAACTAATATTATCCTAAAATAAATCAGGCAGAACAAGTATAATCACAACTAATACCTAGGCCTCACAGAAGACTCCAGAAGAACATTAGAATAGATTTACAGTGTAAAAAACTGGTTGAGTGTTGCTGTTCTTTCATTTTATATTATTCTGGAGAAACTGATGCTTCACATTTGAAGAATGT